CAATCCACGCCCCCGCCGGAGAGGCGGGGGGGCCCCGCCCGCCCCAGCCTATACTACTTTCAATATGGCCTTATCTTAACTAATTACATCTTCAAATACCTTTTCTAGTTAATTCTTTTTTTTTTTTTTTTTTTTTTGTTTTAGAGTGTGTGTGCTCACCAGAGAGAGATGGGGGGGGTTAGGGGTGGGGAGGAGCATCTCCCATGGGGGAGTGGTCATGTAATCCCTTCTTTACTGTTCAGGTCTGGGACTTGAATTGTGCAGTTGGCCTTGTGGGTTTGTCTGCATTCATTAGCTGCCAGGCTCCAGAGCCAGCCTCACCTTTACTTTATTTCTAAGAAATAAGGTCACATTCTGGAAGGACATGAGTTTTGAGGGGGTATTCAACTCTTCAATATAGGTATGTTACATTTGAGATGAAATGTTGAAGTAGACAGTAGAATTAAGGGGAGACATCTGAGCTGGAAATAAACACTTATGAATCATTTGCATATAGATGTATATAAAGTATTAGAATTAGATGAGATTATTATCTTATTTCAGTACAATATAAATAAAGGAAACGAGTGTAGTTAGAAGACCAGCAGGCCCGGGACTGTATACAGGGGTAATCCTTTGAAGTCGCAGAGGTGATCTCAACAAAGGGGACTGGAAAGAAAGAAAAGAAAGCCTGGTAACTTTGAAGCGATAAATATGTTGAGGAGAGAGTCGTCAACTCTTTTAGATACTGCTAATAAAGGTTGAGCATCCCTAGTATGAAATCACAAATGCTCTGAAACTGAAAACTTGCCGCGTAGCAGCATGGTGCCACAAATACTGAGTCGTAGGGAACTCACAACATATTTTTCTGTGCAAAAATGCATTGTGACGTTTCTGATGCCTGAATAGAAAATTCCACACCTGACCTCATGTGACAGGTTGCAGTCAAACACTGCATGAAACTAGAGCCCCATTTCAAGGTCACCATTTATAGAAACTAAATAAAATGAATTAAAAGCTTGTCAACCAAGAACTAAAAAATTACCTGAGCAAAACACTGGGAAAACACTTCAAGATGCTGGAATAGGCAGAGATGTCTTAAATCAGACCCTTAAAGCACAGGCAACAACATACTCCTGAAAATAGACAAGTGGAATTACATCAGACTGAAAAGCTTGTGCACAGAAAAGGAAACAATAAATGATAAAGAGGCAACTCTCATGGAATGGGAGAAAATATTTACAATCTGTACTTCAGATAATGGATCGATGAATATATATATAAGGAACTTAGCTCACCTGGAGAAACTAATCCACTCAAAAATGAGCCATTAGTCTGGCAGCTATTCTCAATGAAGAAGATATGCAAATGTCTGAAAAAGCAAATGAAGAGAGGTCAGTAGGTGGTGTGGTTGAACTTCCACATGGCCAACCACAGTTTGAATCCTGGATGTGGTGGCTTGCTTTCTCACTTTCCCTTTCTCTCTCTTTTTCTCTGATGGGCACATGTGCCCTATAGCAAATTAAAAATATAGTAAAAATAAAATCTTTTTTTTTTAAATGAAAAGCATATGAAGAATGTCCAACATCACTTGTCAAAGGGAAATACAATTTAAAACCACAGTTAGGTATCACCTAACCCCATTAAAGTGACTATGATAAAACAGAACAAAATAGAGATAGCAGAACGAAAGGAACCATCATGTATTGCTGGTGGGAATATAAATTAGTACAACTTCTATGGAAAAAAGTATGGCATTTCCTCAAAAAAATCTAAAAATAGATCTACTGTATGCCCAGTAATCCTACTCTTGGGTATTTACCCAAAGGACAGGCTGTGGCTTCGTTGGCAAGACATTTGCACGTCCATGTTTGTTGCAGCATTATTCACCGTAATGCTAAGACATGAAATTAACCTAAGTGCTTAATATCTGGTGAGTGGGTTAAGAAAATGTGGCATAGGGCCCAGCAGGTGGCATAGTAGTTAAGTCTCTAGCCTCCCACATGAGTGACCAGTGTTCGAGTCCCAAACCTGGCAGCTTGAAACTCAACACCAGGCACTTCTGCATGTGTGCCCAAAATCCCAAGAGGAAAATGGAGAAGGGACTGTGGTGTGGCCAACCCCACTGAGGGAAGTGGTGGTGGTGATTTCTAGCTTTCTGTCTCTCTAGCAAGCGCACATGCCCTATAGCAAAAATCTCTCTCAAAAAAAGGAAATAAAATGTGACTCACAGAGGTGATGGACTGCTACTCAGCAGTAAAGAATAAGAATGTCCTGTTATTTGACACAAAGTAGACGAACCTGCTAAGTGAAATAGACCAGGTTATGAAAGAGAAATGCTGTATATCCCTGCTTAACACTTACTGAATGTCTGCATTCTTAGGTGAAAACCAGCTGGGCCAAGCTGGGGTAATATTCTTTCCTTTCTTTGTGGTTTTATTATTTAAAAAAAATTTTTTTTTAGGGATTTTTGCTATAGGGTATGTGCGCTTGCCAGAAAGACAGAGACAGAGAGACAGAAAGTGAGAAGTCACCCCGAGGTGGGGGTGGGGGGGTGACCACACCACAATCCCTTCTCCTTCATTCTTCTCTCAGGATCTTAAGAACGCCCGCACACGTAACCTGGCATGAGTTTAAGCCACCAGGTCTGGGACTTGAACCGTGATCAACTACATGGGAGTCCAGTGATGTAGTCATTACACCGTCTGCTGGCCTGTTTCTTTGTTTTTTAATTCTTGCTATAGGGCATATATGTTCACCAGAGAGTAAGGGATCATGAGAAAGCACACCCCTGGGAGGTGGCCATATCACAACCCCTTCTCCTCCATTCTCCCCTTGGGATTTTGGGCATGCACATATATGTGCACTGGCATTATTTTCAAGCTGCTGGGTCTGAGACTCAAACCTACAGTAAGCCATGTGGGATCCAGCCACCTTTACCACCATACCACTGGCTGGCCCTGGAGTAATTTTCTTGATGAAAGAGGTTAGGACCAAGCTCTTGGTATAGGAATTAACTTTAGATAGTAGCACAAGTAGTTCATTTATGGTTCCAGGAAGGGAAGGCAAAATACTGTTGTCCTCCTATCTGTGCAGGTTCAGCATCCAGAAGAGTCAGCTAACCACTGGGTTGAAACTGCTAAGGTTGCTGGCATGTACTATGTAGTTAGTGCTACCTAGGATGGTTGTGTCTGTCATGAATATGTACAGACTTTTAAAAAGTTAACTATATTAGATTAGATAGTATAAGGAATCTAGAGGACTTTAAGTGTGTTAGAGGGTTTGTGTAAGTTATGTACACATTCTGTACCCTTTTATGTAAGCAACTTGATTATCTCTGGATTTTGGTATTTGCTGGGGTCCTTGGAACCACTCTCCCATAGATACATAGGGACAGCAGCATGTGGGCGTAGATACTGGCAGGCATGTAGATCAGGAAAGTCCTCCCTGAGTGAGGAGGGGATGGAGAGCCTGTGGGAGATTGAGGAGAGTAAAGCAGTCATCTGAAAGGAGGCATGATCAGGGAAAGCTGAGGTGATTGCTGGACATCTTTTGGGTTGAATGAGGTCATTCGTCTAAAGTGGGACTAGTCAGAAGGATCTTTTCCTTTAATACATTCACCTGTTGGTGCTGATTGTGGTTTTGCATGTGCAACAGAATGACAGGGGTAAGGGGTGTGAATCAGTATGTGCCTCAGTCCACAGCTACATTGGTAACAGATGAACCTGAGACTGGTGGTTTATGAGAAATAGAGCTTTACTCAGCTCCATCGAGGTCTGGCATCTAGTGGCCAACCTCTTGTGAGGCTACAACATGGCAGAGTGCGGGATCTTGAACACAGCAGTGGTCTCCAAATTTCTACTTGATCTGTTCTTTCCCCTCTTAAAAATCTACCACAGCTTAATCTTAGGGCCCTTGCTCCAGAGACCTCATACCCAGAAGCCCTACTCTGGGAAACCATGAAGGGATTAAGTTTTTGCTAAACACCTTTACAGTACAACCAAGGCCCACCATAGGAACTTGGTATGGGGGACAACCAAACTACAACATATGCAAGGGAGTGATCATGCTGCTTGACCGTGGGTCTTAACCTAGACAAGAAGGAGGCCATGTGGGAATCCAGCGCGTTAACCACTATGCCATCTGCTGACCCTAGACTGCCTTTAATTTACTGAATCTGCTTGAATTCCAGGAACGTGAGGATCATCCTCGGAGAGGACGAGAGGATCGGCAGCATCGGGAACCGTCGGAACTAGAACACCGGAGAGCTAGGAACAGTGACCGAGACAGACACCGGGGCCATACCCACCAAAGGAGAAGCTCCAGCGAGAGGCCTGGGAGTGGACAGGCTCAGGGACGGGATCGAGACATTCCGAACCTGCAGGCTCAGGAAGAAGAGCGGGAGTTTTACAATGCCAGGCGCCGGGAGCATCGCCAGAAGAATGAAGTTGGTGGCAGTGGTAACGAGTCTCAGGAGTTGGTTCCTCGACCTGGTAGCAATAATAAGGAAAAAGAGGTGCCCGTTAAAGAAAAACCAAGTTTTGAACTTTCTGGGGCACTTCTTGAGGACACAAACACCTTCCGGGGTGTAGTCATTAAATATAGCGAGCCCCCAGAAGCACGTATCCCCAAAAAACGGTGGCGTCTCTACCCTTTTAAAAATGACGAGGTGCTTCCCGTCATGTACATCCATCGACAGAGTGCGTACCTCCTGGGTCGGCATCGCCGCATCGCAGACATTCCCATTGACCATCCCTCCTGTTCGAAGCAGCACGCCGTCTTTCAGTATCGGTAGGTAGATAGATGTTGGAGGGAGGAACCAAAGTGCAAGCAGAAGCTGAATGTCTTGGGATTACCATTTGTGTACATGTGTATGCAGAATAGGGTGTTACTAATTTAACTGTCCTTTAAGTTATCACTTAAGAGCATTGAACTTGGTGTCAGAAACCCAGGAGTTGAACTCTACCATTGCCACTTACCAGTAATTTAACCCTAGGACAATCCACTCTCTGGTCCTCAGTTTCCACCTACCTCACTGGGCTTTCGTAAGCATTAAAATGAAAATCCTGTGTAACTGAAAATGTTCAACATGTGTTAGCTGAGTCTGGAGTTTGGAGCTTAATAGCTGGCATGGTACATCTGGTATCATTTAATCCTCACAGCAATCCTGTGAGAGGAGGTTGAGACAGATGCTAGTATTCCCATTTTACAGATGAGAAAATACAAGCTCAACTCAGCCAGGTGACTTGCCTAATGAGTGAATTCTGTAAGTCAGCCAGTGCTGTGGTTAAGGTGGTTAAGGTGGCTGGATCCCACATGACCAACTAAGCAATTCAAGTTCCAGATCTCGAGGCTTGGAGAACACTTCAGGTGTATGTGTGTACACGGCCAAAATCCTGAGAGGAGAAGGTGAAAAGGGATTGCTGCATGGCTATCTAGCCCCCTTGGGGGGTGGTTTCTCACTTTTTCTGTTTCTGTCCCTGTCCGGTGAGTACATGCTCCCTCCAGGAAATTTAAAAAAAAAAATTCGCCATAGTAGAACTCTGCCTTATATCTAGCTCTCTAGCTCTGAAGTTGAAACCCACTTTCTTTTTTTTTAAACCATTTAGAGCAGAGCTAACATAATTGAGATATAGGTAGAAGGAGGATTTATATTTATTTTATTTATTTTTTTTTTGGAGAGGTTTTTGCTGTAGGGTGCGTGCGCTCGTCAGAAAGACAGAGAGAGACAGAGAGACAGAAAGCGAGAAATCACCCCCAGGGGGGATGGCCACGCTGCAATCCCTTCTCCTCCATCCTCCTCTCGGGATCTTGGGCACACACGCACATGCGCCTGGTGTGAGTTTAAGCCACCGGGTCTGGGACTCGAACCGCAGTTGACTACATGGGAGTCCAGCAACATAGCCATTATGCTAACTGCTGGTCCTGGATTTATACTGATTTTGAACAACAGGAAAAATGTATTATCTACAGCAAGAGGCTTTGGATTCTGTATTTCAAGCTTTTGGTCTACATGGATTCTCCCCACTACCCAGCAGCCAGCGCTCACCTTTTCTGCTAAGTTATATAAACTGCTCTCAGTTTCCTCGTCCAAAACCATGCTTTTCCCTTGATTTCTTGATTTCCTAGGGTTTTAACTTGAGTCGTGTTCATGCCTGTTTATTTACATCAACTAGCAAAGAGCTTGAGAGAGGAGGGACAGTCTGAGGTGGGATTGTGCTCATGGATTTCTCTTTCTCTGCCAGGCTTGTGGAGTACACCCGTGCTGATGGTACAGTTGGCCGAAGGGTGAAGCCCTATATCATTGACCTCGGTTCAGGCAACGGAACCTTCTTGAACAATAAGCGTATTGAGCCACAGAGATACTATGAACTGAAAGAAAAGGATGTTCTTAAATTTGGGTTCAGTAGCCGAGAGTATGTTTTGCTCCACGAGTCATCGGACACCTCTGAAGTAGACAGGAAAGAAGATGAGGATGACGAGGAGGAACAGGAAGTGTCAGACAGCTAGCAAACTAAGAAACAAACTGTTGACACCTTTTCCTTCTTGGAAGACTTTGGGATTGACTCAGAGAGCACCGTGGTGTTCTCTGTAATGCCTCTTATTGCCTTAAGTCTTTCCTCTGTTGCTGACCAGCTTATGTTACAGTTTAAGAACACTGACTTCGGTTTCGTTGAACTTTTTTCTGTGGAACATTAGCCACATGCCTGTAGGCATTTGTTTCAGAACAGTCTCACCAATTACGACGCCCTGTGTTTTCATAGAAGCATTGTGGCTTTAGTTGGTGCTTTTGGAACTGCTGCCCAGGAAACTGTAAACTCGTGGTTAAGTGGGACTTGTGGCTTGCTCTCTGTACAGTTACTTTATTTATATAGTCGTTAAGCTTTGTGGGCCAGGTTTTTTTGTTTTTGGGGCAAGCCAAAAACAGAATCTTACTAAGCTTTGGTTATCACCAAAACAGCCTCCAGTATATACCAAAGCTTTGACCTGGTTGAGCTCTTGAGTCATAGAAGTTGATTTTGCACTTAGTTTCTTTAGGATGGGAACTTACATGACCTCATTCTAATTTAAACAGATGCTTTATGGAGGGGGCGTTGAGCACCTCATGTATAGGAAGATCATGGCTCCTACTGGTGGGTGCTGCTTCATGTCAGGAGAGGCTGCAGTGGAGTGTGGAGTGGTTTCCTATAAGAGAATTCCTGATTTCTCCACGGAGCATGTACATAATAATTTTGATCATCTTATCTGGTCAATTTTCCATTTTTATTCAAATATCTTTTTTTTTCCTTTGAGAAATACACTTTCATTTATGTGGCAGGGGCCTTGCTTTATTTTAACTTGTGTATGTCTGAACAAGGTTGTATAGTTCACACATTTCTGTGTGTTTCATCTCCTAAAAAATTGTTCAGAGAGGCCGTATTTACCTTTCCATGGCTGGAAAGCCGGGAGACGCCCGGTTTCCTAATTTCCACCGGAGAAATGTGTAAGTAGAAAAGCATTAACTACTTGCATATAGCGTGTATATGTGTGTGTATATGTGTGTGTGTATATATATATGTGTGTGTGCGTGTGTGTGTTTTTAAAAAATCTATAAGTACTGTCTCTTGTCTCTGACCTCTCTGTTACCTTACTAATTTCATAATCCATGTGTGTCTGAGGTGGGCCTGACCTTGCTCCATTTGTGCATCTTTTTCTCTTTCTTTTACCTGACTTTCTGACCTTGCTTTTCAGCTTTCACACACTGAGGGTCTAGACAGGTGTAGGTACACAGTAGCGAAACATCTGAATACTTTTAGGATCACAGAAAACCTCAACCCCTACTGAACTGCTACAGAAAGGGAGAAACTCATCTTCATAAATCTGAATTAAAATCTATAAATTGTGTGTTAAAGAGCTACATACTGATTTTCATATGAGAATGTTTTGTGAAGTAAATGTAATACTATATGATTGGCAAAGGCCTCTGCATTTGAAAAGCAGATTTTCATTTATATGTATTTTTGGGATAAAAAAATAAAATTTGTAAATAATAGCCCCATTTTGAAGGGTTATGTTTTCCTAGCATAGAGGATCTCGTATTTGCGCTAAAGGTGTCTTCATATCGGGATTTCCAAGGTAAAGGTAGACAGTTGTGTAGGATGTTGTGGGGAGACCAGGAATTAGGTGAGCCCCGACACCTGCACTGGCTCCCCATCTTTAATCTCAGGGTGTGGGGGAGTGGCAGTGTGCTCTGAATTGGCACGAGCTCAGGGAGGCTATTACAGGCCTTATGCCAGTTTATTCCTGTCCCTGCTGTTTTGTCCTCAGGTTGTGATGATAGGAGTGGCATGGGGAGAAAAGAGGTGGTGCTGCTATTGACTGTTCCCCTTGAGTTGAAACCTAGGATGATATTAGATTGTTGTCTTTTTCTGTCTGTTGTTTTCACATTGTAGTCTCACATACCCATGTGTATTCCCAGCGATGGTTGGCCAGTGTGAAGAGGGGCATTTAACTGATGTTCATTCGAAAGAAATAGAAGCTCTCCTTTGAAGAATGAACACTTAATACAGTCAATTAGATAAAAGGTAAGATGAAGGGAAACTACAATGGCAATTAGCATGTCCCCCAAAATAACTGCTATTTTGTTTTGTTTTGTTTTGATAGGTGTCAAAGATCACAGATTTTGCTTGTCTAAAACGTATGTTTTGTATTGATGAATTTTTCTTTGGATTCAGAATGATGATTTTCTTTTCCTGGTATTTGGCAATAATCTGCTCTCTCACTCCAGAGTCTCCATGTTCAGTTGGAACTACTCCTGTTAGCCTTCGGCCTTACTTCAAACACCATCCTGGGGGGCACTGATAAATGGCCACTTTACCTGCATTTCACAATAAGAACAGTGAACTTTTGCTTTACTGCAGGGAATACTTTTTCAAAATAAGAGATTCTTCATTGTCAAATATCTGAGAAAGTTTCTTGCATGTCCCGTCCTTCTTTTTTTGTTTTTGAAGATGGTCCAAGAAAAGAGTCCTCGTCGCCCAATAACTGACTTCTTATTTGAAGTTGGCATAATTCTAAGGTTCTTTTTAAATGAATTCATTCTGTTTAGAAACCCATGTTTATTTTAGCTATTTGCAACTCCTTCCTTCCCCAGCATTTTTTCACCCTGGCTAACTTGTCTGCAAGTCATTATTGTCAGTCTCAAGCTGTCTGCAACCCTCCTCAGAAGTCACCCTCTGGTGGTCCACAGTTCTGCCAAGTGTGAGACATCATCTTTATGTTCTTACCATCAAACCTCTTTCTAGTTAAGGCCACACAGTGGGAGGGAGGACTAGGATTCAAACCCAGTCACTCTGGTTCCGGATTCTATAGTTTAACCTCTGTGATGCACTGCCTCTTATAGTCCTGAGTTGTACAAGGTCTAGTCTTTGCAGAGCAATAAATTGAGCAGCCTTGAGCCAGTAAGTGGCATGGAGGTTAAGGCAGCTGGATCTCATGTGGCCAGTTAGGCAGTTTGAGTCTTGGAGCACCAGCTTTAAAAATCACATAAGGTATGTGTGTGTCCAAAATCTCTAAAGGAGAATTGAGGATCCTCCCTAGGGGTGATTCCTCACTTTCCTTCTCTCTTTCTCTCTGGTGAATCACACCCATCCTGTAGCAAAAATAATAATAAAGCCAGCAGCCAAAGCAGTGCTAGAGAAGAGAAATGTAGGAGACCATGGAAGTGCGAGTCTAGAAACAGGATTTAATGACGCCTTGGGAATCGGAGAAGAGCCTGCTGAGGGTGAGGAAAGAGGATTTTTTTTCGGGGAGGGGTTTGCTATAGGGTGTGTATACTTGCTGGAGAGAGAGAGAGAGATAGAAAGAAGGTAAGAAGTAACCTCCAAGGGTGAGTGGCCATCATGTAATCCCTTCTCCATTCTCTCAGGATTTGGGGCATGCATCCTGAGCATGAGTTTCAAACTGCTGGGCCTAGGACTTAAACTGCAATTGGCCATATGGGAATCCAGCACCTTAACTACTATGCCACCTGCTGGCCCCTAGAAAGGACTGTTTCTAAGCAGAGAGGCTCACAGAAATATCTGAGATGATAAACTAGAGTTTGAGGTTTTTTTTTCGCCTTCGGCCTTACTTCAAACACCATCCTGGGGGGCACTGATAAATGGCCACTTTACCTGCATTTCACAATAAGAACAGTGAACTTTTGCTTTACTGCAGGGAATACTTTTTCAAAATAAGAGATTCTTCATTGTCAAATATCTGAGAAAGTTTCTTGCATGTCCCGTCCTTCTTTTTTTGTTTTTGAAGATGGTCCAAGAAAAGAGTCCTCGTCGCCCAATAACTGACTTCTTATTTGAAGTTGGCATAATTCTAAGGTTCTTTTTAAATGAATTCATTCTGTTTAGAAACCCATGTTTATTTTAGCTATTTGCAACTCCTTCCTTCCCCAGCATTTTTTCACCCTGGCTAACTTGTCTGCAAGTCATTATTGTCAGTCTCAAGCTGTCTGCAACCCTCCTCAGAAGTCACCCTCTGGTGGTCCACAGTTCTGCCAAGTGTGAGACATCATCTTTATGTTCTTACCATCAAACCTCTTTCTAGTTAAGGCCACACAGTGGGAGGGAGGACTAGGATTCAAACCCAGTCACTCTGGTTCCGGATTCTATAGTTTAACCTCTGTGATGCACTGCCTCTTATAGTCCTGAGTTGTACAAGGTCTAGTCTTTGCAGAGCAATAAATTGAGCAGCCTTGAGCCAGTAAGTGGCATGGAGGTTAAGGCAGCTGGATCTCATGTGGCCAGTTAGGCAGTTTGAGTCTTGGAGCACCAGCTTTAAAAATCACATAAGGTATGTGTGTGTCCAAAATCTCTAAAGGAGAATTGAGGATCCTCCCTAGGGGTGATTCCTCACTTTCCTTCTCTCTTTCTCTCTGGTGAATCACACCCATCCTGTAGCAAAAATAATAATAAAGCCAGCAGCCAAAGCAGTGCTAGAGAAGAGAAATGTAGGAGACCATGGAAGTGCGAGTCTAGAAACAGGATTTAATGACGCCTTGGGAATCGGAGAAGAGCCTGCTGAGGGTGAGGAAAGAGGATTTTTTTTCGGGGAGGGGTTTGCTATAGGGTGTGTATACTTGCTGGAGAGAGAGAGAGAGATAGAAAGAAGGTAAGAAGTAACCTCCAAGGGTGAGTGGCCATCATGTAATCCCTTCTCCATTCTCTCAGGATTTGGGGCATGCATCCTGAGCATGAGTTTCAAACTGCTGGGCCTAGGACTTAAACTGCAATTGGCCATATGGGAATCCAGCACCTTAACTACTATGCCACCTGCTGGCCCCTAGAAAGGACTGTTTCTAAGCAGAGAGGCTCACAGAAATATCTGAGATGATAAACTAGAGTTTGAGGTTTTTTTTTCGAGATTCAATAGGATAATGATGGGGAGAGAGAGGCACTCCTGGTTTCTGATCATGATAGATAAGTGGTTTTGGTATCCCCACCTGCTGGAAATAGCAAGAACTTCCAGATACAAACATTTCTTGGATTGTCTGAGAACTAACAAATTTATAAAAATGTATCAGGCCAAAAGTGAAGGTACACAGTCTGGAGAGAAAGGGAGTGTAGATGCCTGGAAGCCATGTGTGATGTAAAGGCAAACCGTATTTGATTCTAGCAAGTCAGATCTCACTCAAAGTTAAATGGCAAAAAAACCAGAGCCCGCATA